AACAGGTTTCAATCCGGGCCTTTAAGGGTTTGCCCTCGCTGAAACCAGTGTGGCTCAGTGGATAGAGCATCGGCCTGCGGACTGAAAGGTCCCAGGTTCGATTCCTGTCAAGGGTATGTGCATTGGTTGCAGGCACATCCCCAGTGGGAGGTGTGCAGGAGGCAGCTGATGGATGTTTCTAGCTCTCTATCCCTCTCCCTTCCTCTCTGCGAAAGATCAATAAAATATATGGGGGGGAGGGGGAATTTGCCATCTGGCCCGGCCAGCATGACTCAGTGGCTGAGTGTCAACCTGTGAACCAGGAGGTCAGAGTTCGATTCCCAGTCAGGGCACAGGCCCGGGTTACAGGCTCGATGCCCAGTGTGGGGCGTGCAGGAGGCAGCCGATCCATAGTTCTCTCTCATCACGGATGTTTCTATGATCTCTCTCCCACTCCCTTCCTCTCTGACATCAATGAAAATATATTTGTTTTTTAAGAAATTTCCATCTAGAACAGGGTGGTCCCCAGGGTGGGGCGTGCAGGAGGCAGCCGGTCCCTGATTCTCTCATCATGGATGTTTCTATCTCCCTCTCCCTTCCTCTCTGAAATCAATAAAAAATATCTTAAAAGGTATCTCTGGGGGGCGGGGGGGGTCTTCACCACATTAAAAATCCCTAACAACGTGGGCTTGTAAACAGTATGGGCCCCGCTTTGAGGTCAGAAGAGGTTTGTCTGCTTTTCAAGCCCGTCCTGACCCCGAGACTGACCGACCAAGATTGACCGACCGTCCAGACTTTGCACCCAGATCCACAGCCAGAGTGGAGAGGCCGGTCCCTCTCTGCATGACAAAGGCCAGCTGCCTCCTCCCTGGGAAGGGGCCCTCAGGGGGAAAAGCGCCCCAATCCACACTCCTGGCCTTCCTCTGGCCGCTGGCTAATTGCCCAATTATTTTATATCCCCCTGAGGCCGCCCGGAATCCACATTTGGGGCGGGGAGCCTGTGTCCGGGGAGCCACAGGGGTCCGGGGATTTGTCGTGTCTGTCTGCTTCTTGGCCTCCCCTGCCCTGCCCTGCCCTGCCCAGCCCAGCCCTGCCCCACCCCAGCCGGCCTGGCTTTGGGGGTGAGGAGACTGACCTGGAAACAGCTTGGGGTGTAGGAGGAATTTAGGGGAGACTAGGCTTTCTGCAGACACCCATCCAGGGTGTGAGTTTGGGGACACCCTCACATTTCAGCCTCCGTCGTCTTAGCTCTAACCATGGGTGGGGGAGCCAGGACCATGTCCTGATGGCCCATTTCAGCTCTGATTCTACAAAGAACCCATCATCTGCGCAGTAATCCTCCCCGACAGTGGTGGCTAGCTTCTCAGGGCAGGGGAACAGCGTAGAGAGGAAACCAGTGTTTCCATCGGCTCACCGGGAGAGACACGTTCAATTCCTACGGCGTATCCCCGGTCACAACCCCCCCAAAAAAACTTCTAAATAAAGACCCCAAACACTTCCTTTTTCTAAAAAAATAAAATAAAAATAAATATATATATATTTCTCTCTCCCTCTCCCTTCCTCTCTGAAATCAAGATTTCAGAGAGGGAGGGAGAGGGAGAGAGAGAGAAACATCCATGATGAGAGAGAACCATGGGTCGGCTGCCTCCTGCAGGTCCCCACTGGGGATGGAACCCACAACCCTGGAGCCCTTCAGCCCGCAGGCCGACGCTCTATCCACTGAGCCACACCGGTTTCGGCAAAAATATATATTTTTTGAAATCTCAAAGTGGGGGGGAGTGAGGGGGACCAGAGAATCCTGTGGGGACGGACCCTCCCCTCCACCCTGTGCTCTGGAGAAGGAGGTGCCTGTGCAGCGGGTCAGTCACTCCCAGGGCCGAGGGGCTCCTGGCCGCTGGGGACTCCCGTGGGCCCTGAGCTCCCGGCATCTCCTCGGGGGGGGGTGGAGCCCCAGCCCCAGAGGCCTGCGCCCCCCGCCCCCCTCCGCCCGGTGAGGGCAGGTCCCTGCGGAAGCCGGCACAGACCCCAGGGAGCTCCAGGGGCCTAGCTGCTGGGGCCGTCGAGGGGCCATGCTGGCGAGCGCGGCCTGGGTGTCAGATCCTGGGCACCCCCTGGCCGGTGATAAGCCACGGGGCTTCCTCTCCGGCGGGGGCTTTGCATATTTATGGAACACCAGCCTGGGACAGCGCCCGGGCCCTGGGTCGCCTGTCAATGGGATGCTTCTGCACCTTTTGGCCAGGCTCGAGGCCCAAATGTTTGCACCCATAAGTCCTTTCCCGCTAATCATCACCTCCGAAGAAAAGCATTGGCCGCCTTTTGAAGAATCCTACGCTTGTCACAGAGAGAGAGAGAGAGAGAGAGAGAGAGAGAGCGAGCAGAAGGGCCTGTTTGAGCCCCATGATGGGCTCTGAGTTCCTCCTTTAAAAAAAAATATATATATATACATATATATATATATATATATATATATATATATATATATATATTGATTTTTACAGAGGAAGAGAGAGGGATAGAGAGTCATTGATCAGCTGCCTCTTGCACACTCCCCACTGGGTACTTGCACACTCCCAACCAAGGAACTTGCCCTGGACTGGGATTGAACCTGGGAGCATCTGCAGGCCGACGCTCTATCCACTGAGCAACACCGGTTTCGGCCTGAGTTATTCCTTGTTACACAGATTCCCTGGAAACAGAGGAGGGGAAGGAGGGGGCAGCGGCGGGCAGGGGAGGTCACCATCCATTCTGTCTCCCCCTTGAGGTCCCGCTCTTGGGCTCAGCTGTCAGCATTCCTCAGTCTTCTCTTCCCTTGTCCCACCTGGTATTTGTTAGGATCCGTGACCTTCGCTCCAGACAACCCTAGCTCTGGAGCTTCCAAGCGGGGTGGCCCTGGGTGAGTTAGGGAAGGGTTCGTGCCTCAGTTTCTTCATCTAGGAAATGGGTACGATAATGGCCCACGGTGAGGAGAAAGAGTTAAAGTATGTAAGATGCTCAATACTGGGCACAGAACTGTTGGCCACGATGACTTACCGGTATTAATAATATTATTATTTTTTAATATATTTTATTGATTTTTTACAGAGAGGAAGGGAGAGGGATAGAGAGCTAGAAACATCGATGAGAGAGGAACATCAACCAGCTGCCTCCTGCACACCCCCCACTGGGGGATGTGCCCGCAACCAAGGTACATGCTCTTGATCGGAATCGAACCCGGGACCTTTCAGTCCGCAGGCCGACGCTCTATCCACTGAGCCACACAGGTTTCGGCGGTGTTAATATTATTTCTCCCTGTCCACAGTTTCATTCTCCCCCCCACCCCTCCGCCCCCAAATATATTAATTTTTTAAAATATATTTTATTGATTTTTTTACAGAAAGGAAGGGAGAGAGATAGAGAGCCAGAAACATCGATGAGAGAGAAACATGGAGCAGCTGCCTCCTGCACGCCCCCCATTGGGGATGTGCCCGCAACCAAGGCACATGCCCTTGCCCGGAATCGAACCCGGGACCCCTCAGTCCACAGGCTGACGCTCTATCCACTGAGCCAAGTCGGTTTCGGCCAGATAATGTAGTGGCGGGGCAGGTGACAAGGACGGCGAACACCGGGCCAGGCCTCTTACACATGCTTATCCATTCACTCTTCCCACTGGCCCTCTGCGGGAGTCCCCGTGACCATTGCCCTCCTCCAGAGGAGCAGACACCGGAGCGCTGAGTAGTTAAGGAACTCGCCATCAGGTCCAACAGCCAGCGGGCAGCATAGCAGAGCCCAGCCGGCCCAAGATGTGCGTTTGAGCCCGGCCGGCGTTGCTCAGTGGTTAGCGTCAACCCCTGAACCAGGGGTTCACCGTTCGATTCCCGGTCAGGGCACATCCCCCGTGTGGGGCGTGCAGGAGGCAGCCGATCCATGATTCTCTCTCATCATGGATGTTTCTCTCTCTCTCTCTCCCTCTTCATTCCTTCCTGATATCCATTAAAACATACAATACATAAAAGCAAACGTTGGTTAAAAAAAAAAAATGTGTGTGTGGCCAAAACCGGTGTGGCTCAGTGGATAGAGCATCGGTCTGCAGACTGAAGGGTCCCGGGTTCCATGCCTGTCAACCTTGGTTGCAGGCACATCCCCAGTGGGGGGTGTGCAGGAGGCAGCCGATGGATGTTTCTCTCTCATCGATGTTTCTAAATCTCTATCCCTCTCCCTTTCTCTCTGTGTAAGATCAATAAAACATATTAAAACAAACCAAAAAATTGTGTGTGAGGAGGCACAGGGATTCCCGCCCACCCCAGCACCAATGACTCTGGACAGGGTTCTGGGCAGCCCTGGCCTCTGCTTTCCAGGTTCTGCCCATGATTGGTACCTGGGCTCAAGCTGAGTGCGGGTGGTGGGGCCCTCGGCCAGGCTCCCTGCACGGTGCTCTGCCCAGAAGGTGCCCTGCCTGCGGGGCCTCGCCCTCGGTGGCAGTGTGACCGCAAAGACACTGCCACAATCTCGGTCCCTGGCTCTTCCCGGGAGCCGAGCTGCCAGATCCCTGTCCCGACAGCATCCAGCCTCCTTCCGTCACAGGGCGGACGCGATCCCCTGAGAGGGGGGATGGAGATGGAGGGAGAAGGCAGGGCTGCTGTGAGCGGGCAGGGGTCAGGTGTGTCCCCGAGTCCCTCCCAGCGGGCACAGCTACCCCAGGCTGGTCTCCAGGGAAGAGACATGAGCGTCTGGGCTGGCTGGTGGCCTCACCTTTCCCCAGCAGCGTGGACTGGCTTTTCCATGGACAAGGAGGACTGGGAGAGGGCCAGCACAATTCAGCAGGCACTAAAGCTATCACTGAGCCGCCAGACAGCCGCGGCCAGAAGCCCAAGCCAGGGTTCAGACGGCCTTTGTGCCCTTTGCAGACAGCCCCTCCTCAGGCCCAGGGCCCTGTCTGGCCCAGGAGCTCCCAGGAGGGCGAGGGGTGTGACCTCCCTCCCTCCCTCCCTCTCCCCACCCGGGCCCAGCCCAGGGCTGGCTATAAAGCCGGCCCCGCTGCTGGGACCCTCCCGGAGCCTCGTCAGGGGACACAGCCGCTCTGCCCGTCCTCCCAAGTGGCAGCATGAGGGCCCTGTGGCTGTGCTGGGCGCTGGGAGCGCTGGGCCTGGCCCGGCCCGGGGCGGCCGTGACCGAGGAGCAGGTCCTGGGCAGCCTGCTGCAGCAGCTGCAGCTGAGCGAGCCGCCCGCACCGGGCCAGCGGGACGCGGGGCGGCCGGTGCCCCCTGCCCACGTGCGGGCCCAGTACGTGGCCCTGCTGCAGCGCGGCCACGGCGTGCCCTCCCGGGGGAAGCGGTTCAGCCAGAACTTCCGAGGTGAGGCCCTCCCTGCTCCTGGCCCCTGTGTGTGCGTGTGCATGCATGTGTGCGTGTGTGTGCATGCATGTCTGTGCGTGTGTGTGTGTGTGCTAAGACTGGATGTGCCCATCTGGGAAGGCTGCCTGGGGCCCCTTTCTGGGCCTGAGACTCACCCCACTGGTGCCCCTAGACAGACCCAAGTGCCCCAAGGTGAGAATTCTGACCCTCAACCTCTCAGCTGGCCCGTTCGTTAGCTCGGGGCGCGGAGCTGTTCCTTCCTGTGGGTGATGGATGGAGATGGGTACAGAGGAGGCCCTGGTCCCAGGGCAGCGAGGGGGACCAGGGACTGTAAGGAGGGCGGGTCTCTGCGCTGAGGTCCCCACCCAGCGTGCCGGGCTGGCCCCTGCCAAAGCCAAGGCCTCGGAGAGGAATAGGGTGGAAGGAGGGAGCTGGTGGGGGTGGTGGTGGGGATGGGGGAGCCCAGGCTCGGCTCAGAGGCCTGGGTGAGGCTGGGGCTCCTTGGGGTCCGTTTTCGCATGGCCACCAATGGCCTGTCCTTGAGCACGTGGCTTGCAAATCACCCCCTTGACCCTGTTTGGTTCTTTGTACCCGTGACCGAGTCTGCCCTCCCTGCCAGTGCTGGGAACATGCCAGTGGGTTGCTGTGAGGGGGTATGGGGGGACCTGGCAGATCCTGTTAAGTGCAGTCACTCTGCTGTTAAGGGGCACAGGGGCCTGCATCCTACCCGCTCAGCCCCTGCCTCTGGGGCTGGGTTCACCCCTCCGCGCCCAGTGCCCTAAGGGGAGGATTCTGACCCTCCAGGCTCAGCGGACCCCAAAGCTCAGGGCCAGGGCTGCCCTTCCGGCTGTGGAGGTGGTTATAGGCCCCCAGGCCCCAGGGGGTTCTGCAGGTGACCGGGGAGACAGAATAGGGCTGTTCTCTGCCCCCCTGGCTGCTCCCCCGGCTGACGCTGCTGTGGTCCCCAGAGGTGGCCGGCCGGTTCCTGGTGTCCGAGGCCTCCACGCACCTGCTGGTGTTCGGCATGGAGCGGCGGCTGCCCCCCAACAGCGAGCTGGTGCAGGCCCAGCTGCGCCTCCTGCAGGAGCCGGTGCCCCCGGCCGCCCTCCGCCAGCACCAGCGCCTGGCCCCGCGCAGCGACCTGGCCCGCGTCTCCATCGAGTGGCTGCAGGTGCGGGCCGACGGCTCCAACCGCACCGCCCTCGTGGACTCCAGGTGAGGTGCCCGGGGTGCTGGGGGGGGACGGGAGGAGGGAAAGGGGAGGGCGGGAGGGGTGAGGGGAGAGGAATGGGAGGCGGGAGAGGTGTCCCCGGTCCCCAGCCCTCAGTCCCGGTGTCTGCCGCAGGCTGGTGTCCGTCCACGAGAGCGGCTGGAAGGCCTTCGACGTGACGGAGGCCGTGAGCTTCTGGCAGCAGCTGAGCCGGCCCCGGGAGCCGCTGCTGCTGCGGGTGTCGGTGCAGCGGGAGCACCTGGGCCCGCTGGCCTCCAGCGCCCACAGGCTGGTGCGCTTTGCCGCCCGGGGGCCGGCGGAGGGCGCGCAGGGCGAGCCCCAGCTGGAGCTGCACACGCTGGACCTCGGCCACTTCGGGTAGGTCCCGGGGGAGGAGGGGGCTGCCGGGTGGGCGAGCAGACAGCCCAGGAGGCAAGATATCCCCACTGCACGTGCGTTTCTAACGGTAGAACTTTGTATTCAACCATTTTATTGGCAAATACCTTCAGATATTTTCGATGGGCTTTTATGTTGTCACGCTGTCACACACATTATGCCAATCATCTAATTTCATTTTACCCTTTTCGACAATTAATTCTTTTTTTTTTTTTTAAATATGTTTTTATTGCCGAAATTGGCCTGGCTCAGTGGATAGAGCGTAAGCCTGTGGACTGAAAGGTCCCAGGTTCGATTCCGGTCAAGACATGCGCCTTGGTTTCGGGCACATCCCCAGTAGTGGGTGTGCAGGAGGCGGCTGATCGGTGACTCTCTCTCATGGATGTTTCTAACTCTCTATCCCTCTCTCTTCCTCTCTGTAAAAAAATCAATAAAATATATTTAAATAAATAAATGTTTTTATTGATTTTGAGAGAGAGAGGAAAGGAGAGGGAGAAAGAGATAGAAACATCTATGATGAGAGAGAAAAGCATCATCCATTGGCCGCCTCCTGCACGCCCCCTACTGGGGATCAAGCCTACAACCCAGGGAATGTGCCCTTGACCGGGAATCGAACCAATGACCTTCTGGTTCCTGGGTGGACACTCAGCCCCTGAGCCACACCCAGCCAGGCCCCCCTGATTAAGTCTTTGGAAACTTATTAGCATGATGCCAAGCTGAACAGCTTTCCCCTGACATCTTGGCTTCTTCAGGCAACAAGTTCTAGGCCTGTGGGATCACACAGCCTGCATTCCACGGAAGCCCTGCCTGTGACTGGCTTCAGGGCCTCTGGCCTGTCGCTTCACACGTTTATTAAAGTGTCCCAGTGTCCTCGGGGTCATAGGGGTAATGCTGGGCCTTCAGTAAGGTGTATGTCAGGATAAAGGCAGGTGCCAGCTGAGATAACATGTGAAGTCCTAGGTCAGTACCTAGCATACTAGGAGACCTTTATTTACTTTTTATTTATTTATTTATTTTTAAAATATATTTTATTGATTTTTTTACAGAGAGGAAGGGAGAGGGAGAGTGTTAGAAACATCGATGAGAGGGAAATATTGACCAGCTGCCTCCTGCACACACCCTGCTGGAGAGGTGCCCGCAACCAAGGTACATGCCCTTGACCGGAATGGAACCTGGGACCCTTGAGTCCACGGGCTGACGTTCTGTCCACTGAGACAAACCGGTTAGGGCACTAGGAGACCTTTAATAAACAACAGCTGATTTATATTTCAGATGTTTATTCATTCGCCCTTTACCACAAGCATCCAGCCTTTTTAACATCACAAGAGATAGATCACAAGTCTCCCTCCCAGATGCCCCACTGGGCCCTGCCCAGGGTCTCCTGACCTCAGCCCTCCCCACTGACCTCTGACCCCACCTCTCCTTGCCCCCCACAGAGCTCAGGGCAACTGTGACCCCGAGGCGCCCGTGACCGAGGGCACCCGCTGCTGCCGCCGGGAGACGTACATCGACCTGCAGGGGCTGACGTGGGCGCAGAACTGGGTGCTGGAGCCCCCGGGCTTCCTGGCCTACGAGTGCGTGGGCACCTGCCCGCAGCCCCCGGCCGCCCTGGCCGCCCGGTGGCCCTTCCTGGGCCCGCGGCAGTGCGTGGCCTCGGAGACCGCCCCGCTGCCCATGATCGTGAGCGTCCAGGAGGGCGGCCGGGCCAGCGCCCGGGTGGTCAGCCTGCCCGACATGCGGGTGCAGACGTGCAGCTGCGCCTCGGACGGGGCGCCCGTGCCCCGGAGGCTGGAGCCGTAGGCGCTGGGCAACGGGCCACGGGCCACGGAGGCTTCTGACCAAACACGTGCACCGAGGCAGGTGCTGATGGAGGTTTTACGTTTCTACTTAGCAAGTCACCCCTGCCCCGAATAGGGCCCCTAGTTTACCATTTCCGAGTGCTCTACCATTCCTTGTCCTCCTGAGCGTCCCCTAAGCACTTACGTGAGGAACTACTGCCACTTGTCGTTGCTGAGCAGGAGATCCTGGCTCCTCGCTAGCCAGCCGGGGTGGCTGAGCCCGGCCAGGCTGTTTGTTCTCTGGCAAATTCTCAACCGACTTTGGGACAACACACCCTGAGATAAGACCTGGGGGAAGAACTCGTTTACTCTATTACATGGTGAATGAAAACCAAACCCTAAAATCCCTCTGTGTCCTCTAGATAGGATGCCTAAAAATGAACCCCATCTCCCAAACGTGGAATCCTTTTGGACTTTTGTCAACATGCCTGGGTTCGCCCTGCCAGGGCGCTTGTAGGGGGGAGGAGGAGGGACTTCGGGGTCCCCAAGGGCGATGCATAGGGGAGCAGGACACCTGGGTTCTGGATAGAACAGGGCCCCAAGCTGTGACGCCATCGCCCTGGGGATCCCCCACACCCTCACCTCCCCTCTCCTCCGCCCCCCCTACTCCGCCTGCCCGCGCATACTTAGAGAACTTATCACCAGTTAGCACCACAAGCTTTTACGTTTTGTTATTATTATTATTTAGAAGGAAAAAAAACACACACAAAAATTGAATGTAGAGAACACACAGGAATAAAAGCGGTTTCACTCTGAATCCATGCATCTCCACCTGCAGCATCTAGCCATTCTCTGTTTTGAATGACTGCTCCACAGAGGAGGCGGGCGCACAGCACGATGCGACTGCGGATTGGTCCGCGCTCCGAGCTCCCGGCCGAGGATTGGCTGCCGGGGCGGGCGCGGGGCGTGGCCACGTAGCCTGGGGCGTGGTCACGTGGCCCTGCGCGAGGCTGTGAGTGCGCGCGGAGGGTGTCGGGATCCGGCCGGAAGTTGCTGGATCCGGCTTCCGGAGACGACGCCGGCAACGCTTTTCCAGCTGCTGCCTCCCCTTTACGGTGTCTCCCGCCCGCGTGGGGCGAGTCCTGCGGCCGCCGGGGGCACCGAGCCCGGGACCATGAGCGTGGGCTTCATCGGCGCGGGCCAGCTGGCCTATGCGCTGGCGCGGGGCTTCACGGCCGCGGGTGAGCACGCGGGGCAGGGGACGGCGCAAGGCGGCCTGGGGATCGGGCGTGGGCATCGCGCGGGGAGCTCGGCGCCGCCGGAGCCTCGTGGGGTTTGGCTCTGCTTGCCCCGGGGGAGCACGGGGGCGGGGTGGACCATGGCGCCCCGCTGAGACGCCCTGTGTGCTGCAGGCATCCTGTCGGCTCACAAGATCATAGCCAGCTCCCCGGACATGGACCTGCCCACGGTGTCCGCGCTCAGGGTAGGTGCGAGGCCCTGGAGGGTGAACCTCCCCTTTCCCCCTCCCAGCTGGTCATCAGCAGGCTGGTAACTACCCTCACCCCCATCTGTTAGCATCAGGATCCTCCCCCTCCCTCCAGGCGAACATATGCAGGTTCTAATGCAGGCCCAGGGGCGCTTAGATGAAAAGATATTTATGCATAGTAGGTACCCCGCAAATAGTCGTGTGTCTTCATGGGCTGTCTGGGGTGCTTATGGCTCTCTGAGCCTGTTTCCTCCTTTGTAAAAGTGGAGATGGCGGTAGCGCCTCTGCTGAGATACAGTGAAGCAAGAAGGAGCTGTTCCTCTCTCTAAAAAGGGTATCCCAAGTCTTCAGCCCAGACCTGGGCTGCATAGGTGGGGACGTGCAATGAGGCAGGTGACAGGCAGGGTGGATGATGGCCCCAGCACTGGAGTCCTGCAGGGAGGGATGTCCTCCCACCCGCCCTGGACCACACGGAGACCAGGTGGGTTGGGGCCTAACTCGGTTCTGCTTCCCACCGTTGGGTGCTAGCATTTCCCTTTGTTGCTTCCCAGTCCTGGACATTTAAAAATAAATTTTTTTATTAATTTTTTACAGAGAGGATGGGAGAGGGATAGAGAGTTAGAAACATGAATGAGACAGAAACATCCATCAGCTGCCTCCTGCACACCCCCTACTGGGTATTTGCCCGCAACCAAGGCACATGCCCTTGACTGGAATTGAACTTGGGATCCTTGGGTGCCCAGGCCGATGCTATATCCACTGGGCCAAACAGGTTGGGCCCAGCCCTGGAGACTCCTTAGCTGGCACAGGGCTGCCTGGGCTGGCAGACACTGGTGGGGATGTGGGACAGCCCTTTTCTGGTGCCATGGAGACGCTGGTCCATGCTCGGCACCTGTGCTCACTTGCCCAGGGGCAGCCTGTCCCAGTGGGGTCAGGAGCAGACCCTGAGGGGACAAGGCAGGGCGTGCCAGGCGGCGGCTGGCAGAGGGGTGGCTGGCGGCAGGGGTTCGGCGGCTCCCGGGGAGGGCCTGTGCCCGGTGGGGTTGCCGGCGCTGTGAGCCGGGCCGTTTCCTCCCGCAGAAGCTGGGGGTGAGCCTGACCCGGAGCAACAAGGAGACGGTGAGGCACAGCGACGTGCTGTTCCTGGCCGTGAAGCCGCACATCATCCCCTTCATCCTGGACGAGATCGGCGCCGACGTGCAGGCCCGGCACATCGTGGTGTCCTGTGCCGCCGGCGTCACCATCAGCTCGGTGGAGAAGGTGCCAGGCGGGGAGAGGAGGAGGGGGTGCCCGTGGGAGCTGGGCCCTGGCAATGCCCTCGCCCTCTTTCTCGCTCCAGAAGCTGACGGCCTTCCAGCCGGCGCCCAAGGTGATCCGCTGCATGACCAACACGCCCGTGGTGGTGCGGGAGGGCGCCACGGTGTACGCCACGGGCACCCACGCGCTGGTGGAGGACGGGCAGCTGCTGGAGCAGCTCATGAGCAGCGTGGGCTTCTGCACGGAGGTGGAGGAGGACCTGATCGATGCCGTCACCGGGCTCAGCGGCAGCGGGCCCGCCTACGTGAGCGCGCTCTCACTCACACACACGGGCTCGCACGGCCTCCTGGGGGCTCGGAGCGGCTGGGCTGGCAGGCAGCGGGGGCCGGGGGCCGGGGGCCGGGGGCCCACCTCTGGGGAGCTGGTGGAGGACAGCAATCCTCAGGGGTGCCCTCGAGTGCCTGCACCCCAAGACTCACTGAGTGTCCCCACAGGCGTTCATGGCCCTGGACGCGCTGGCTGACGGCGGGGTGAAGATGGGCCTGCCCCGGCGCCTGGCCCTCCGGCTGGGGGCCCAGGCCTTGCTGGTCAGTACCTCCCTCTGCGTGCCCTGCGCCTGGGGTGGCCTGGGGCCTTGGGGGTCAGTGAATTGAGGGGGGCTGGGTGGGAAGCTGGGGGAGGCCTGGGGAAGTGTGTTCGCTCATTTCCGCTCCTGCTCCAGGGCGCTGCCAAGATGCTGCTGGACTCGGAGCAGCACCCAGGCCAGCTCAAGGACAACGTCTGCTCCCCCGGGGGGGCCACCATCCACGCCCTGCACTTCCTGGAGAGTGGGGGCTTCCGCTCGCTGCTCATCAACGCGGTCGAGGCCTCCTGCATCCGCACACGGTGTGTCTCCTCCGCCCCTCAGGCCCCGTTAGCGGCGTTGGGGTCTGTGCTGTTACAGCCACCACTTAGCAGCTAGCGGTTGGCAGGCCTTACGTCATTTGGTTCTCTGATTCCATTGTCGGGATCAGCTTTGATTGATGGGTGAGGAGGTGAAGACTCAGTTTCCCCAAGTCAAACGTGTTTGGTGTGTAGGACTTCTAATTTGGGGAGGTATCTGGTCAGCGAGAGTGGGAGTTACCTGGTGGTGAAGCCTTGAGGCGCCCTGGCTCCAGGGTTTAATGCCTTCCTCCTCCTCCCCTCTCGTCTGCAGAGAGCTGCAGTCCATGGCCGACCAGGAGAAGATCTCCCCTGCCGCCCTCAAGAAGACCCTCCTGGACAGAGTGAAGCTGGAGTCCCCGACAGTGTCCACGCTGACCCCCTACAGCTCCTCGATGGTCCTCACTCGAAGCCCGGCCCCGGGAGGCAAGAAGGACTGAGGTAGCCCGCCCCCTGACAGCCTCGCCGAGGGGCCGGCAGGGCCAGGCAGGCTCAGGTGGTCTTCCGATCCTTGTGTAAAACCTCCTCCATCTGTCCAGACCGAGCAGCCCCCGTTGGAAGATGCCTGGCAGGGGCGGTAGATGCTAGAAGCCAGGTGAACCCGCACATTCCCGCTGTCAGAGCCCCAGCTCAGGTGGGAGGCCTGGGAGGACCGCCCTCTGCTGTCCTCCAGCGCAAGCCCAGAGCGGCGTCAGTGCGATGCCACGTCAGGGAGGGGAGGGGTCAACCCATGACAAGGGCACTCCTCTTGGCATGAGCGTGGGCAGCATGGAATTGTCCCCAGCAGGCACGCACCACCTGAGGCCGTGCTGGATAGAGAAACTGATTCATTCCCGCTAAGTTCAGCCGCTTTAATAAAGTTTTATTTTTTATTATGCCCGTCTTCCTGCTTTTTAAAAAATGTACATTTTATTGATTTTTTTGCAGAGAGGAAGGGAGAGGGATAGAGTCAGAAACATCCGACGGAAGGGTAACTGATCAGCTGTCTCCTGCACACCCCCCACTGGGGATGTTTCTGCAACCAAGGCGCATGCCCTTGACCGGGATCGAACCCCCCCTTCCCCTCCCTGCAGCCCACACACTGCAGGGCTCCTCTCGTCTCGGATGGGAGCCCAGCCAGCGTTCCTGGTCAAGCAGCCTCCGTCTGTAACTGAAAACATAGAAAGTGTTTTCTTTCCAAGCGCAGGGCCATGTGCAAGATACACACTCATTTCCTCTTTAATTGAGCGATTATAATGTACTTTCTGTTTCCCCATTTCACTGATGGACACACTGAGGCCTGGGCAGGTTAGGAGTACAGCCAGCGAGAGGAAGGCTGACTGCGGAGCGGGGGAGGGGGTAGGCAGGGGCTGCAGGGGTCCCTGGGGCAGGAGGCCCAGACCTCAGAGTGGCGTGGGGACTGGCCCCCTCCTGACCTTCACGGGAGGGGGGTGGCGTGGTTTTGAGAGACTGGGAAACCTCTCAGAGAAGCAGACATTGTAATTGTTTGCTTTGATTGAAGCAAATCAAACCATCATTCCATTTGCATTAAGAGGAAGGAGTGAGAAATGAGCGTTTGTGGACTTCCTTTTCAGACAGCACGGCCCTCTCCCAGTCAGGACTCCCCTTTGCCCTAAACAGAAGTGTCTGCTTCTGCCGAGGCCCTGCCTCGCTGCTCTCGCTCACCTCCTTGGGGTGCCTCCCCCTTCTCAAACCACCCCCTTCCCCCCAGCTCTTTGCCCCCAGCTAAGCCCTTCATTGGCCCCCGGCATCGTGGACCTCATTTATTTATTTAAAAAACAACAACAGCCGAAGCCGGTTTGGCTCAGTGGATAGAGCGTCGGCCTGCGGACTGAAAGGTCCCAGGTTGGATTCCGGTCAGGGGCATGTACCTTGGTTGCAGGCACATCCCCGATAGGGGGTGTGCAAGAGGCAGCTGGTCGATGTTTCTCTCTCATCGATAGAGAGATCTCTCTCTATCTCTCTTTCTCCCTTCCTCTCTGTAAAAAATCATTAAAATATATTAAAAAACAAAAAAAAACAACAACATCTTACTAATTTTTTTAGAGAGGAAGGGAGAGGAATAGAGAGTTAGAAACATCAATGAGAGAGAAACATTGACCAGCTGCCTCCTGCACACCCCCTACTGGGGATGTGCCCACAACCAAGGTACATGCCCTTGACCGGAATTGAACCTGGGATCCTTCAGTCCGCAGGCCGACGCTCTATCCACTGAGCCACACCGGCCAGGGCTACTTCGCTTTTTAATAGGGCTTTTTGAGCTGACAAGATGCTGTCACTCATCACATCCAATGGGATTCTCCCAGCACCCCTGGCAGGCAGGGAAGCAGGAGAGCAGCTAAGCAACTAGGGGAGCTGGGCCAGGACCCCAGGATTCCAAGTCCTCCCGGTTTCCCTCCCAGGCGTCTGGGAGTGAGCTCTGAAGGCAGCAGGTGGCTCTTTGCACAGCAGGCCCCCAGGAAAGCTGGTCCTGGAAGCCCAGCTCTGTCCGCCCCACTGCCAGCTGCAGAGGGAAGGTTCGCCTGCGCCACTAGAGGGCGCCAGGCGACCAGAGGGGGCTATAGCATCCAGGGTGCGGGATCCTGGGGAGAAACCCTACCCAGCTCGGTGCCCCGCATGCCAGCTGTGGCAGGTGATTCATGTGTCCACAAAGCAGCAGCTCAGCGTTGGTTAGCGATGGGGATCTTGTTTATGGAACGTCGCTTCCCCTCTGCCCCTCGCCGTCCTCTCTCGTTTGTAGTGTTGAGTCAGACCTTCTGGCTCTCAGCCAGTGTGGGAGCCCCCGCCCGCCCGGCAGGCAGGACCCCGAGAGCAGGGGGGCGAATGGAGCTTGTTAAATCGAATGGAGCTGATCGTGGCCGAAGCCAACGTTCCCGGGTGTCCGGGCAGATGGGCGGAAAGCCGAGAAGGATCCCTGCGTGATTGCCAGTCGATACGTATTTATTTAGATCTTATGACGGGCCCGAAAAATGCGGTTCGCTCCTGTGTCGGGACTCTCCGTGGGAAACGGGGGCCCAGGTCACGTCGCGGTGGGCGGGGAGGCAGGGAGGGCAGGGAGAGAAGCTGGCCTTCCTGCAACCGGTACCCGCTCAGCCGCGTGAGGATTGCAGGGGATGAGGTGCAAGAAGCACCTGACTCAGTATACTCACCTGCATTCGTTTGGGCATTCTCTCAGCCCGCAAACATGGAGCCACACTGTGTGTCAGGAGGAGGGGGGAGAAGGAGAGACTGTGATGACACACATGGCGGCAGAGTCCACCCTGCAAGCTGATCAGGGCTCGGATGGAGTCAGTAAGTACTTGGGGGTAGGAGGGCAGAGAGGAGGGGTTCAGGGGGACTCTGAGTTTTCCAGGTAGAAAGAGGTGGTAACGGGCCAGGGTGGGCTCAGGAGGGACCCCCCCACTGGGGATGAGGGTGGGGCTGATGCCCAAGGGAGTGTGTGCTGGCGGCCAGGGCAGGTGGCTGGGCATGGGGATGGGGGTGGGAGAGAGGGGCAGGGGGCAGGAAGGCCCAGGTGAGGCAGGACTGTGCGGACACGGGACTGGGCCTGTTGGCCGGAAGGCAAGTGCAGCCCCATGGGGGGTGTTAAGCTGGGAGGGATCAGGCTTGAGAGAGAAGATTCCGGAAGCCTTGCGGAACAGTCTTGCAGCCAGCTGGGTGTCAGAGGAGAGGGGCCAGTTGAGGAAGGTAATCTGGGAGGCTTAAGGACTCCCTACCCCCGACACATCCCCTTATATCTTAATGGATTGTGTAAAAAACAATTTGTTCACATGGATAAGCTGCAGCCGGTAAGCCAAGCTCCTCGCCCCCCATGCTCTGCAGACCACTGTAGCTATTGGCGAGTCAGTGCTTCGGGGATTGTTGAGCCGATGAAGCAAACAGACGCCCGATAAGGGCCAGGTGAGGGGAAGCAGGTGTGCAGGCCGGGCCGCGGTCCCAGCGTGGCGCCTCCATGCACAGACCCGGGTGTACCAGGAGCCGAGGCTGGCGGGAGGTGATAAGAGTAACAGCTGCCGTTCCCCGAGTGCCAAGGGTGGACCCAGCCCAGAGCCAGGCCCTGTGCCTGCCTTCCCAGATCCTCTCCCACAACCATGTCCAGGGCATATTCCCAAACCCACTCTTACAGACCAGGAAACTGAGGCTCAGTTTGCCCGGGGCGGTGGCCAGAGCCCATGCTCGCCCTACTCTCCCCAGCTGGGGTTCCTTTTGGGGTGGAGCGAGGGGATGGGGGGGGCCCTGAGGAGCAGGTAGGGACAGAGGCTGCAGGTCCAGGTGGGGCTTCTCTGCATAAGAGAGCTTCGGGCACCTGTGCGGGCAGAGCAGACGGATTCTCACAGTCCTGGAGGCCGGAGGGCCGAGGTCAGGGTGTCCGCAGGCTTGCTTTCTCCGTGGGCCTGTCTCTGTGGCTTGCAGGCGGCCACCTCCTCCTCACTGTGTCCGCACATGGTCTTCCCCGTGTGCGTGTCCTAATCGCCCCCTCCCATGGGGACACTGGTCAAATGGCTGCAGGGCCCGGCCCCCGAAGACCTCTCTGACGGCCTGTCTCCAAAGCCGGCCACGTGGGGAGGGGCTGGGGGGCAGGGCTTCACGGATGAAGTTGGAGGACAAAATGTAGGAGCCGAGGGTGCAGGAGCCGAGGGGGAGGACCAGAGACAGCTGGGGGGGAGAAGTCGGGAGCCTGGCTTTGACCGAGGCCATAAGCTACGGGTGAGAGAGGGTGTGTTCCTGAACCCAGAGCTTTTTTTAAATTTTATTTTATTATTTTTTAAATATATATATTTTATTGATTTTTTTACAGAGAGGAAGAGAGAGGGATAGAGAGAAACATCAATGAGAGAGAGTCATTGATCAGCTGCCTCTTGCACACCCCCTACTGGGGATGTGCCTGCAACTACTGTACATGCCCTTGACCGGGATCGAACCTGGGACCCCTCAGTCCGCAGGCCGACGCTCTGTCCATTGAGCCAAACCGGTTTCGGCCTGAACCCAGAGCTTTGAAGAATGGAAGGATGGCCCTGGCCGGTTTGGCTCAGTGGATGGAGTGTCAGCCCTTAGATGGAAGGGTCCTGGGTTTGATTCCGGTCAAGGGCACGTACCTCGGTTGCAGGCTCCTTTTTAGGCCTGGGGCCCTGATCAGGGCGTATGCAGGAGGCAACCCATCGCTGTGTTTCTCTCCCATCGATGTTTCTCTCTGTCTCTCCCTCTCCCTTCCACTCTCCCTAAAAATCAATGGAAAACTCCACAGAAAGCATGGCCGTGGAGGGCGTCTCTGGCCACTGCAGCCGGGCTGTGAGCCAGGCTCCATGGCGCCCCACCTGCCTGGTCTCAGCTGGGGGGCCCCCCAATAGCTCTATCCTTTGGCAGCTTTCTTGCTCCGAAGGGGAGGGGACACTTGGGCAGCAGCCACAGTGGGGCCGCCCGCCTGTCCAGGATCTGCAGGCAGCCTGGGGGGTGCAGGGCAGCCAGGAGCCAGGGTGCTTCGGCTTTGCCGTCCTGCCACCAGCCACAAGCACCCGGATTCTGATGCCAGCCTGAGGGAATGCGGGCGTGGCCCCCGCCCCAGCCCTGCTGACACCTGGACGGTGGCCTGCGAGGCCCCGCGGAGGCCCAGGGAGGCCGTGCCTGCCTCCTGACTCACGGAATCTGTGAGTCACACGTGTGTTTGTTTTTAAGGCTCGGGGACAGAGCCTTATTTTTGGAACCATAGGCCCTGTGTCCTGCAGGCCCAGGGGGCAGAAGTGTCTTTGTGATGAGCTGGCGACCGGGCCAGCTCAGATCCAGGCCTCTAGACTCCTACCCAGAGTTCCCTCTGCCTGCCCTGCCCTGTCCCCATGACCCCATGAGGGAGGCCAGGGTCCTGGTGGGATAGGAATCAAGAGGGACTCCTGGCGCCCTCGCTGGTGTGGCTCAGTGGATAGAGCGTCGGACTGCAGACTGGAAGGTCCCGGGTTTGATTCCCGGTCAGGGCGCAGGCTCAGGTTGCAGGCTAGATCCCCAATAGGGGGCTTGCAGGAGGCAGCAGATCAATGACTCATCATTGGTGTTTCTATCTCTCTACCTCCCTCTCCCTTCCTCGCTGAAATCAATAAAAATATATTTAAAAAAAACCCCAAAAAGTGACCCCCTAGCCAAGCTGGTGTGGCTCAGCGGTTGAGTATCGACCCATGAACCAGGAGGTCAGAGTTCGGTTCGAGATCAGGCCACACGCCCGGGTTTCAGGCTGATCTCCAGTGTGGGGTGGGTAGGAGGCAGCCGATCCATGATTCTCTCTCATCATGGATGTTTCTCTCTCTTTCTCTCTCTCCCTCTCCCTTCCTCTCTGACATCAATAAACACACACACACACACACACACACACAGCGGCCTCTAGGTTTGGCTGGGTGTGGGGTGAGCCGCACTGAGCCGGAGCGGGGAGGGGTGGAGGGGCAGGTGGGAGCAGCTCGGTGCCCAGTGGAGGCTCAGGCTGCGGCCGTCAGGAATGCGGGGCCCGCTGTGCAGCCATGAGCCAGGGCAGGGTCTCTCAGGAGGAACAAGAAACAGCTCTTCCCGTGACCCTGGCCGTTCGCCAGGCTGCTGGCCGGGGCTCGGCGGGCTGGGGGGGCGCCCTTCCTGCAGGAGCAGGTGCAGGGAGGGCGCCGGCAGAGGCAGACACGGGCAAATCCCCCAGACCGCCGATCCCTCCGCAAACACCAGACCGCCGATCCCTCCGCAAACACGGCCCCTTCCGGAATGTGGATTCCCCATGGGTGCCGTCGGGCGTCCTGCTGGGGGAATGAGCCCGCAATCAGCCAGAGGGAGCGGATGTGGATTGGGGCTTCTACCCAGGGCTGGCCAGCCGGGGACAGCCTCAGCCTTTGTCATGCAGAGGAAGGAGCCGCGTGCATCCGGGGGAGTCCGGCCTCTGCAGGTTGGATTGGGCCTGTAGGTCAGAGGTTGTGGGGGGGGGGGGGGGTCGTCATCCCTGAGCTGGATCTGCAGGGCTGGAGAGGAACAGCGGAGTGGGGGGGGAACAGCTGGAGGTCACCGCCCCTGACTGAGGGCCTAACCGTGGACTGGAGTTGAGGACATGGTGGGGAGAAGGGTTTTGACCCCCACCAGAGTCCAGGCTGCCAGGGGAGGGCCACAAGGAAGCGGGCGGTCAGAGGTCACCTCCCGGACTCCATGGTGAGGAGGGGCTGAAACTGGCCCCAGGCTCAGAGCCAAAGGGGACAGACGCCGAGGTTGGGGACTGCTGGGTTGGAGAGCCCAGCCTCTGGGGTCTCCAAGGTGGCACCTGTCGCCCTCACAGCCAGGGGCAGACACTACTGTGGGTGCTCCAGAGACGCCCCGAGGCCCAGCCCCAGGAGCCCTGGGCTGCCCCAAAGCTGCACCCATCACCCCTGACTCCAAGCCAGGGGCCCACGTAGCTCCTTGGAGTCTGCAGACCTGCCCCTGGGAGGGCCTCCCGGATCTTCCCCAGCAGCTGGGTCTCTGGCATCAGCGGGCGGCCCTTCCCTGGCTCCCTGGCTCCCTGGCTTCCTGGCTCCCCGGGCTCCGGAGGGTGGGGGCAGGGAGGAAGAAGGACCCCCGTGTCCGTCCAGAGTGCCCCCAGACTGGGCTCAGGGCCTGGTCCAAATTGGTCCTCAACTAGGGCCCCCCCATGACCTTGCCCCCCATGACCTTGCTCCCCATGACTCTGCCCCCCTTTCCTCCCTCAGGATGGAAGATCTGAGGCCAGGGCCCGGGGACCATCTCTCGCCACCAGACCGGGCGAGCTGGGCCAGATCCAGTTGGGGGTGGAGGCAGGATGGGGGTGGGTGGGTGGGGGAGCCGCCCCTCCTTCTGCATGACAAAGCCTGGGGCTCCCTCCCTCTGAGCCCACACTGCGAGGGGCCTCCCAATCCACAGTCCTCCCTCCTCTGGGCCTCCAGCGAAGGTGGCCAGGTTTAGCAAATAAAAACATACAATTCCCGGGGAAAGTGTCCATTTCCCATAAACGACCAGTAATGAGGACGTCCCACGTGGTGTCTGTCCCCTTTATTTTATTTAGTCACCGGCCCCTGGCTCGCCGCCCAGGTGGCTTATTTCCCCAGAAGAAGGGTTCCACTGGCCTCAATCCACATCCGGGCCCCGGAGGCCTCAGGGCGCCACGGACCGGCCTCTCCCCCGGCCCCCTCCCGCACCCCCCGCATGCCTGGAGGGGACGGGGGCCCCGGCTTGGGGGGCCGGACAGGGCCTGGCTGGAGGCAGCTCCCCAGCGGAAAGGGCTGGGAAGCTGGAGATTTGGCTTGGTGCCTCGTCACAAACTGTGTGGCCCCGGGGGGGGTCGTGGCCTGGCTGAGCCTCAGTTTCCTGGGCTCAGACATTGGAGAAAGGGGTGCACTGCCCACCGGAGGGACCATGGAGGGTCCGATCCCGAGGCAGGAGCCTTTCCTTCCGTTCTGACATCTAGACTAAGGTGATCAGATGTCCTGCTTCTGGCGGGACAGCCCTGCTTTTTAACCGAGTAATCCGGACTCTTAAAAAACCCCACGGGCTGCGGGACGCATTGTTAAAAATCGGGACGTCTGCTCACCTTAATCTAGACCACATGTGTCAAACACAAGGCCCGCAGGCCAAATCCGTCCCGCCAGGCCTTGCAATGTGGCCCGCACCGCGCTGTCATCACTGCACTCCGCTGCGTTTCCATCACAATGACGGTTTATGACTGTTCAGTAAACCATTCGGCCCACGATTTAGGCTGGATTTTAGATTTTGGCCCCTTCTCTGATTGAGTTCGACACCCCTAATCTAGACCCACAGAGAGCCAAGAAGAGGGAGAGGACGCGGCTTCTTAGTGGACAAGACCTCACTGTCGCCCCACCCCACCCCACCCCCGACAACGGGAAACACGGGGTTTCCTGTCCAGGGGCAGCCCAGCACCCCAGCTGCCCCCAGGTGCCCCCTGGGCACCAGTCCCTGCAGGCAGGTGGGTCCTTGGGAAGCTCTGGTATTGGGTGGGCAGTTCCCTTGCAGCAAGGAACTGACTCACAGTCCACACACCAGCGACCCCCCACTCTGTCCCTGGAAGACGGGGTGCAGCAGAGAATGAGGTGCCTACCTCTTCTCAATACAGACGGGCCCTCCTCAGGCCCAGGGCCCTGTCTGGCCCAGGAGTTCCCAGGAGGGCCAGGGGTGTGACCTCCCTCGCTCTCTCCCTCCCTCCCTCCCTCCCTCCCTCCTCCCTCCCTCCCTCCCCGCACCCGGGCCCAGCCCAGGGCTGGCTATCAAGCCGGCCCAGCCCGGCCCTCAGCACGCCCCGCTGCTGGGACCCTCCCGGAGCCTCGTCAGGGGACACAGCCGCTCTGCCCGTCCTCCCAAGTGGCAGCATGAGGGCCCTGTGGCTGTGCTGGGCGCTGGGGGCGCTGGGCCTGGCCCGGCCCGGGGCGGCCGTGACCGAGGAGCGGGTCCTGGGCAGCCTGCTGCAGCAGCTGCAGCTGAGCGAGCCGCCCGCGCTGGGCCAGCGGGACGCGGGGCGGCCGGTGCCCCCTGCCCACGTGCGGGCCCAGTACGTGGCCCTGCTGCAGCGCGGCCACGGCGTGCCCTCCCGGGGGAAGCGGTTCAGCCAGAACTTCCGAGGTGAGGCCCTCCCTGCTCCTGGCCCCTGTGTGTGCGTGTGCATGTGCATGTGTGTGCATGTGTGCATGTGTGTGTGCTAAGACTGGATGTGCTCATCTGGGGGCCAGGGACCTGCTCCCCGGCCAGGCAGAGTGCCCAGGGAGAGGAGGAGGCCTCGCACAGACTCCTCAGCTCCTGATGCCAAACTGGAGTCCCGGGTGCTGGGGGACGGGGCACCCGGTACCTCTGCTGTCCGTGACCCCATTACCTCTGGGTCAGGCGTCTGACCCCCGGCGCCTCTTCTGCTTTTTGGGGGACGTTTCCCCAAAGAGGAAAATGGGGACAAACTCGGGGCTCTCCCCCAGCCCCGTAGGCAGATCCAGGTCCAGCTGGGACCAGGTCACCCCACGGCCGGGGGCCTCTGCGCCCCACACCCCATCCCTCCTCGCCCGTCCTGGTGCCGCCACCTCCGTGTCCACTCCGGCCCCCACGGAGGGCGGGGCCGCCAACAAAGAAGCCCCCATGCAAACGATGGCCCGAAATCAGTACAAATATTTAAAAATCTGTTTTATTGATGGTTAGAGAGAGGAAGGCAGGCATAGAGAGAAGATAGACACATCAACGAGGGAGAAACGTCACCGTCGGCTGCCTCCTGCACGCCCCACCCTGGGGATGGAGCCCGCAACCCGGGCCTGTGCCCTGCCCGGGAGTCGAACCCTGACCTCCTGGATCATGGGTCAGTGCGCAACCCCTGAGCCCCACCAGCAGGGCTGGGAATATATATATATATATTTTTAAAAATATATATATTTTATTGATTTTTTACAGAGAGGAAGGGAGAGGGACAGAGAGCCAGGAACATCAATGAGAGAGAATCATTGATCAGCTGCCTCCTGCACACCCCCCACCGGGGATGTGCCCACAACCAAGGTACATGCCCTTGACCGGAATCGAACCCGGGACCTCCCAATCCGCAGGCCGACACTCTACCCACTGAGCCAAACCGGTTTCGGCTTGGCTGGGAATATTTTTAAGGTGGAGGTGCCCTCTTTGGCACCTGACCCCCCCCGCCCACCCGCCGTTTCCCAGGCCCGGGGTCCTCCTTGTGCATTATTGGGGAAACCCTGCCCCAGGCTCAGCCCTGCCCCCTCAGAGGTGCCCTGACGCTGTGTCGCCCCCAGAGGTGGCCGGCCGGTTCCTGGTGTCCGAGGCCTCCACGCACCTGCTGGTGTTCGGCATGGAGCGGCGGCTGCCCCCCAACAGCGAGCTGGTGCAGGCCCAGCTGCGCCTCCTGCAGGAGCCGGTGCCCCCGGCCGCCCTCCGCCAGCACCAGCGCCTGGCCCCGCGCAGCGACCTGGCCCGCGTCTCCATCGAGTGGCTGCAGGTGCGGGCCGACGGCTCCAACCGCACCGCCCTGGTGGACTCCAGGTGAGGTGCCCGGGGTGCTGGGGGGGGGGGGCAGGAGGGAAAGGGGAGGGCGGGAGGGGTGAGGGGAGAGCGATGGGAGGCGGGAGAGGTGTCCCCGGTCCCCAGCCCTCAGTCCCTGTGTGTGCCGCAGGCTGGTGTCCGTCCATGAGAGCGGCTGGAAGGCCTTCGACGTGACGGAGGCCGTGAGCTTCTGGCAGCAGCTGAGCCGGCCCCGGGAGCCGCTGCTGCTGCGGGTGTCGGTGCAGCGGGAGCACCTGGGCCCGCTGGCCTCCAGCGCCCACAGGCTGGTGCGCTTTGCCGCCCGGGGGCCGGCGGAGGGCGCGCAGGGCGAGCCCCAGCTGGAGCTGCACACGCTGGACCTCGGCCACTTCGGGTGAGCCTGGCGGACACCCCGATAGAGAATCACCCCGCCATGGACGCGGGCCTCTCCCCTCAGGGGGCCGGGGGCGTGGAGGAGGGTGTGAGGTTTCTCCTTTTGAATCTTAGGAGCCATCGCACCTGGTTATCTGTGTTTCGGTTTTTTCCAGCGATCGATCTTGTCACACACATCCAGCTTTGTTATTTTATATATTTTTTTATTGATTTTTTTTTTTTTTTTTTTTTTTTTTTTTACAGAGAGGAAGGGAGGGATAAAGAGTTAGAAACATCGATGAGCCCAAACAGGTGTGGCTCAGTGGATAGAGCGTCGGCCTGCGGACTGAAGGGTCCCAGGTTGGATTCCGGTCAAGGGCATGTGCCTTGGTTGCGGGCATGTCCCCGGTAGGGGGTGTGCAGGAGGCAGCTGATGGATGATTCTCTCTCATCGATGTTTCTAACTCTCTATCCCTCTCCCTTCCTCTCTGTAAAAAATCAATAAAATATATTTTGAAAAGAAAGAAACATCGATGAGAGAGAACCATCATCAATCAGCTGCCTCCTGCACACCCCCTACCGGGGACGTGCCCGCAACCAAGGCACATGCCCTTGACCGGAATCCAACCTGGGACCCTTCAGTCCGCAGGCCGACGCTCTATCCACTGAGCCACACCGGTCAGGGCCACATCCAGCTTTTTTGTACATCACGAGAGATAGATCACACGTCTCCCTCCCAGATGCCCCACTGGGCCCTGCCCCGGGTCCCCGGACCCTCCGCCCTTCCCACTGCCCTCTGACCCCGCCTCTCCTTGCCCCCCACAGAGCTCAGGGCAACTGTGACCCCGAGGCGCCCGTGACCGAGGGCACCCGCTGCTGCCGCCGGGAGACGTACATCGACCTGCAGGGGCTGACGTGGGCGCAGAACTGGGTGCTGGAGCCCCCGGGCTTCCTGGCCTACGAGTGCGTGGGCACCTGCCCGCAGCCCCCGGCCGCCCTGGCCGCCCGGTGGCCCTTCCTGGGCCCGCGGCAGTGCGTGGCCTCGGAGACCGCCCCGCTGCCCATGATCGTGAGCGTCCAGGAGAGCGGCCGGGCCAGCGCCCGGGTGGTCAGCCTGCCCGACATGCGGGTGCAGACGTGCAGCTGCGCCTCGGACGGGGCGGCCGTGCCCCGGAGGCTGGAGCCGTAGGCGCTGGGCAACGGGCCACCATGCGGCTTGATTGGCGTGCCTCCGAAGGGCACCAGGTGCCAGGAGAAATGGGGGGGGGGGGCTGTGGGTGGGCACATGCTCTGTGCTCTCTGCTGAACTCTGAATCCGCTTCCTCCGACCGGTCAGCTCACCTGCTCATAACCGCCCCCAGGAAAAAGACTCTGGGGTCACCGGGCAGCCGTCCAGGCTCCTGGCTCCTTCGTGTTACCCGCTGCACTCGCTGCTAAGCACTTACCCGGTTGGTTCTGTCCTCTAAGAGCAGAAACGCCCGTCTGTCATGGTTCCCCTCTCCCAGGAGCTGGGATGAGTCTGGTAAGGGCCAGAGACTCAGAGGCCACTCTGGGCTTCACACCGAGGCTCCGGTGTGGGTTGTATGTTCTGATCTCAGACACAGAGGGCATTTTTGCAAGAAAGAAAGAAAATATTTTACCAAGAAGCCTGCCCGCGGTGGAGGACACGGAACGTTCTCTAGAGGAACAAGGTTAACGCGATTAGAAGGCCATGGCCAAGGTCTCCGTTTGGAAGGACAGGGGAGAAGGAGGAAGCCGGATGGGACAGAAAAGAACTGTCAAATGCAGGAGGAGACCCCCCCTGCCCCCCCCCCCCCCAGCTGGAGCCATAGGCTGGTGCTAGGGTCCTGGGCAGGGAGGTAAGGGGTTTGGCACCCCCCCCCAGAAAAGGATGAGAGACTAGCCCTGACCGGTTTGGCTCAGTGGATAGAGCGTCAGCTGAAAGGTCCCAGGTTTGATTCCGGTCGGAGGCATGTACCTTGGTTGCGGGCACATCCCCAGTGGGGGGTGTGCAAGAGGCAGCTGATCGATGTTTCTCTCTCATCCTTGTTTCCAACTCTATCCCTTTCCCTTCCTCTATAAAAAAAAAATCAGTAAAATATATATTTTTAAAAAGCAGTGGTCATGGACAACAGGGGGGTGGGGGCATACGTGGGGAGGCATTTGGGATGGGAATGGGGGGATGAGGACAATTCTGTGATACCATAATCAATAAAGAAATTAAAAAAATAAAAAGGCCAAAACCGATTTGGCTCAGTGGATAGAGTGTCAGCCTTCGGACTGAAGGGTCAATTCCGGTTCAATTCCGGTCAAAGGCATGGACCTTGGTTGCGGGCACATCCCCAGTGGGGGGTGTGCAGGAGGCAGCTGATCGATAATTCTCTCATCGATGTTTCTAGCTCTCTATCCCTCTCCCTTCCTCTCTGTAAAAAATCAATAAAATATATTAAAAAAAAGAAAAGAAAAAAAAAGAAAAGAAAAAAAAGAAAAGGACGAGAGCCTAGGAGTGGAGCGGAGGGCAGGGAGGGCAGGGAGCCCGCAGGGCGGCGCCCGTGTGCTGAGCAGTCACCCATCCAGGGCAGTGAGCCCCGGAGGAGGCTCTGGCCCAGCCCCCGGCCTCGCAGGTGCAAACCGAGGCCGGAGAAGGAGAGGGAGCGCAGTTTGCACACGTCCTCCCGGGCAGGCCCCGCGCCCTGCACCCCCCCTGGGTGCGCCCCCGCGCCTCGGCCGCTTACCGTCCGCCTGGAGGACGCCCCCCCCCCCTGGTCCCCAGCCCGGGAGATCGGTGGCCCCGGTGACCCCGATCGGTGGCCCCGGTGACCCCGGTGGCCAGGGCTGTACCTTAGGGCTTCCGTTTGGGGTACCTCGGGGCCCCTCAGACTCGGGGCGCCCCGGGGAGCGGAGGTGCTGAGCGCAGCCGGGACCCCCTAATCGGCCCTCCTCCTGCTCGGAAATCGAGTGCAAAACGGGGGCCACCCCCCCTCCCCCGACGGGGGCGAAGCCAAGGCTCCCCCGGTGCTGCCTCCGCCTCCGCGACCACCTGTGCGCAGCCGGGCCTCCGGGGCGCGGGGCGCGGGGATCGGGGGGGGGTGCAGGGCTGAGCCCCGCGGCGGCGGTGCCCTGGGACCCCGGACCGGAGCCGGCGGGCGCCCGGCGGAGGCGGGAGGGAGGGAGGAGGGAGGGAGGGTGGAGGGAGGGAGAAAGGAGGGAGGGAGGGAGGGAGGAGGGAGGAAGGCGGGAGAAAGGAGGGAGGGAGGAGGGAGGAGGGAGGAGGGAGGGAGAAAGGAGGGAGGAGGGAGTGGGCGCGGCCGGGACGCCCTCCCCGCGGCGGCGGCGGCGGCGGCGGCCCCGGGCGCGCAGGCCGCGCTGCGCATGTGCGGCGGCGGCGGAGTTTCACTTTGTAACTTTCGGGCTCGGGACGCGCGGGCCGGGCGGGCGGACGGACAGACGGACGGACTCCCCGCTCCGCGCCCCCCGCCGCCGCCGCAGGTAACGGGCGGGGGGGCGGGGAGGGGAGGGGAAGGGGCCGACGCCGCGTCGGGGGGTCCCCTCCGCCTCCCGGACCTGGGGGTCCCGGTTCCGCGCAAGTGTCCGAGGTTCGGGGCGCGGCCCTCGGACCCGCAGCCCCCGGGCCGGGCACGGAGTCGGGCTCAGGGGGCGCAGAGGGTCAGCCCGGGCCCCGCAGCCGCGCGCTCCTCCCGGCCACCGGCTGCGCCTCTCTCTCTCTTCTCATTCTCTCTCTTCTCTCTCTCCTCTCTCTCTCCTCTCTCCCCTCTCTCTCTCTCTCTCTCTCTCTCTCTCTCTCTCTCTCTCTCTCTCTCTCTCTCCTCTCTCTCTTCCCCCCCCTCCCCACCGGCTCCAAGGTCCCCTCCTCGCCTCGCTCCCTCCCGGGCTTTGGGGATCCGTCCCCGGGGAGCCGACCCCCCTCCCCGCCCCGCCGGGAGCGCACGCCGCCCGGGCGCGTCCTCCTGGCACCGGGCACCGGGCACCGGGCACCGCGGCGGGCGGGAGGCCGGTGCCCGGGGCGGGGAGGCCCCTCTGCTCCGCCGCGGCCGCTCCCTGCGGTCCCGGCGGCGGCCGGGGGGTGGGTCCCGCCGGGAGGAGGGACGCCGCTCAGAGCCCGGGCTCCCCGGCCCGCGGGCGGCCTCCAAGGGCCCGCCCCGGGGAAGGAGTCCACCTGGTGGCGGATCAGGTCGCCCGGGAGCTTCCTTCTTCCCTGAAGTTTGTGCGGGGGGCGGAGTGCCAGCCCCTGGACGGCAGCCGGTGGGGGTGGGTCATACGCACCCATGGGTGGGCGCTGTGGGTGCCAGGGGACCCTGGGGTGAGAGGCCTCGGGGGATCCTGGCCCCGTCAGGGTGATCGGCACCCACTGGGGCTCAGGAAAGACTCCTCCGAGGCAGCGGGGCATCCCTTACAGGTTTCCCCTCCCTCTCCCCAAACCCCACTGTCTTTTTGTTGTTGTTTTAAAATATATTTTATTGATTTTTTACAGAGAGGAAGAGAGAGAGATGAGAGTTAGAAACATCGATGAGAGAGAATCACCCACCAGCTGCCTCCTGCACACCCCTCACTGGGGATGTGCCTGCAACCAAGGTACATGCCCTTGACCGGAATCGAACCCGGGACCCTTGAGTCCTCAGGCCGACGCTCTATCCACGGAGCCAAACCGGTTTCGGCTGCTGGTGTTTCTGGGAGAAATGAGAGGTCTTCAGAGGAAGTGTGCCCTCCGGGCTGGCGCTTTGCTGCCAGCTCCGGGGGGCAGCCGGCTAGCCTTGGTGGCTGACTTGCTTTGACGAGTGTGAGGACAGCTGTTGGACCCCGCCCTCTGTCCCACTGGCCACAGCCAGATTCCGGGGGGCACGTGGGCTGAACTTGGGATTGGGGGCATGAATCCCTGCTGCCTAGAATCTGGCTCAGTGGGAAGTCTTGGATCTCCCTGGCTCAGGGTCTTGGCTGGGAATGAGCCCAGGAGGCATGGAGCAGCGAGAGGCATTTGCATACACGTGTCAAACAAATCCTATATAATAAATAGGCGATATGCAAATGGACCATCACTCCAACACACATGATGGCCGCCCCTATGTGGTCAAAGATGGCCACCCCCGTATGGACACAAGATGGCCTGCAGGGGAGGGCAGTTGGGAGTTACCGGGCTGACAAGGGAGGGCAGTTAGGGGCAACCAGGCCAGCAGGGGAGGGTAATTGGGGGGGGGGGTGATCCGGCTGGCAGGGTAGGACAGTTGTGGGCAATCGGGCTGGTAGGGGAGCAGTTATGCATCGATCAGGCTGGTAGGGGAGTGGTTAGGGTTAGGGGGGGATCAGGCTGGCAGGGGAGTGGTGAGGGGGTGATCAGGCTGGCAGGCAGGCAGGCAGCGGTTGGGAGCCATCTGTCCCGGATTGTGAGAGGGATGTCCGATGGATGGCCGGTGTAGGCCCGATCCCTGTGAGCAGTCAGACATCCCCTGAGGGCCCCAGATTGGAGAGGGTGCATGCTGGGTTGAGAGACACTCCCCCCCCCCGCCACCTTGTGCACAAATTCCGTGCACTGGACCTCTCGTATCAGATCACTAAATATTTGGAAGGTCGCGGCCAAGCAGGGCTCCTGTGACCACGGGCCTCCTCGCTGGCTGGGCCCCTGCCCAGAAGGGCCAGTGTTTCGGCTCCGGAGCCAGCTCCCTCCTGATCTCTGCCCCCTGAGTCCCCTCTCCGCACTCCCCCCACCTCATCAGCTCCATCTGGAGAAGCCGTGGTATCTCAGCAGGGGCTGGGCTTGTGTGTGAGTGTGTGTGTGTGTGTGTGTGTGTGTGTGTGTGCCGGGCAGGACAGGCTACAGCTGAGCTGAGAGGCCGGGAGACTGAGGGCCTGACAGCTGTGTGCTCAGTGGCGTCACCTGGAGGGGCTGGTGAGACAGGCTCCAGCCCGGCCCCCAGGCCCCCTGCCCCAGGCCCCCTACCCCAGACTCCCAGGCCCCAGGCCCCCGGCCCCCAGGCCCCCAGGCCCCCTGCCCCAGGCCTCCGACCCCAGGCCCCAGGCTCCCAGGCCCCAGGCCCCCAGGAAACCGGGCTCCAGGCCCCAGGCCCCCGGCCCCAGGCCCCCTGTCCCAGGCCCCCAGGCCCCCAGGCTGGCGGTATTTGCTGGCTGACCTCCTGGGCCATCTTTATCTAGGGATCCTGTTTGGCAAGAGGAAATGGACAGTGAGGCGTGACGGGGCTGAAGGAAGAAGGGGAACCACAGTGCCTTCCTCCTTTGGGGCCTGGGGCAGCCTTGGTGAGGGCCGTCTCCCCCCACCCCCTCCTCCGGCCCGCCCCGCCCCGCCCCGCCCCTGGGGATCAGAGCTCCCTCTGTGAGCATTCAACGGGGATGTTCTCTTCCTCCCATTTCACTCTCAGGCCTTCCTTGTCTGTCCTCTGCCCCGTCCCTGGCAGGGCCACCCGTATGGCCAGCTGAGCCCCACAGCCCAGGGCTTCCGGGGTGGGGGTGGGGCGGGGGTGGGGGCAGACCCAGAGGAGCCAGCCTAGAACCAGTTCTGGGAGAGGCCAGGCAGGAGGGCACCCATTGGGTGACAGAGGGTCCGTGTGAGCGTGTGAGATCAGAGACCCGGGGGCAGGTGCATGGGGGGTGGGGAGGGGGGCTGGGAGGGGCAGCTGCTCATGCCGGCTGCGTTGTTCCTCCAGGAAACCGGCCCAGGCTGGTGCCCGGGGCCCTGCAGGAGATGAGGGGCGGCCTGAGAGCCAGCTGCCCCTGAGGGGCTCCCCCGAGTCCGTGCCCCCCTTGGTGTCCGGTGAGTGTGGGGCCAGGAGGGGGGCGGGCGCTGGCCTCCCCGCGTCTGGCTGGGTGTTAGGTGGGGCTGGTGCCGGGGGGTGGGGGGTGAGGGAGGGGAGCCAAGACCAGCTGTCTCCCTGAGCCTCTCTCCTGCCTCTGCCCCTTCCGTGGATCTGG